TATGCATCGCAAACTGCAAGCATCGAGCGAGGTGGACATCCCGACATGGAATTTCTTCACAGTTCATGAAGGCTTAACTCGGATTGTATGGAGAGTAGTCGGGAGGAGAACTTCTCTGAGGCTAGTGCAGTGCACAAAGGTGTTGCAAAGGTCTGCACTCTTAAGCAGTCGGCAACTGTCACACGCATGCGCTCCAATAGCAGTAAAATGCTTTGTAAGAGCGAGTGCAGTGATTCCCGTAGAGCTAAGACAGCCCGGTGCCAGCTCACTGGTCCTAGCTTGCAGTCTTGACCCTCGGGGGGATAGAATCTTACACAACGTAACCTCAGCAAGGTTGATGCACCCTTGAAAGAGGTATTGCCCGAACTTGGCTTCGTTACTGAATTTATTTGCAACCCCTTCAGATGCATGCACCCATTGCAAGGAACAGCATTCCGCGAAGGCCTTGTATCCAAAGTCTTGGCAACCAGAAGCCGAGAACACTGTTTAGTTGCTTGCAGTCACGAAAGACGTTGTCGGAAATGCCTACAACTGTGGCCGGCAGTTTGACAATGTGAAGTTGCCGGCAATTTTGCCAGGCCTCTGCTCCAATGAGCCTGATGTCTAACTCAACACTGACATGCCGCAAACGCCGAACCCCTGCAAAAGTCTCTTCTAACCTGCCGCGGCAGCCGCTGCGCTGCATTACCAACCGAGTAGAACCGGCCTCCCAAGGCATCAACAGTGGGCTTGTACCCTCATTGAGGCAATGAGAGGACGATACTGCCAAGGCAATGTAGTCCAATGCAACCCATTTGTAATGCGGGTGCCTCCTGAGTAGTGTGTACATTTCCTGGGAAGTAGGGGAAGGGCACTCCGTAAGGACGAAGGCAATTGAGGATTGCGGAATAAGAAGCCTTCCTCAAGTGCACCTCTCTACAGGAGGTTTCCACCCCACCATCCCTGCTTTACATGGCGCGATGCGCCTTTGCAGGTTGCGCGCAATTTCGAGCAATATGCAAACAAGGAAAAAGCAAAACATGGCGAGGGACACATGCCCGACCCAATGCTTTTGACAAATGTGAGCAACTCGACCTGCCCGAATGGCACCGAGTTTTGCCGGCCGATGCCAGTGATCTATGGAGAGAAGACTTTCTGGAACCTGCACCAAAGGCCAGCAATGCTTTCGCGGCGGGAATGGTGCATAAGCACTCCACCAGGAATTTTTTCCACGAGTACGGACGCCGTGTGGGCATGGTGCCCAGGTCATCGTTGAAGGAAGGGAAGAACAGACAGATGGTGGAGAAAGGAACAAAGACCCCAAAACCAACACAAACCAAACACCCAAGCCCGCAGGCCGAAACTCCACCATCTTGTAGTCTTTCCTCTACACTGGGTGAAACGTGTGAAACGGAGACTAGTGGCAATTAATGGGCCTGAATTCTCAAAAGAAAAGGACGGCAGCGCAAACTGTGTTCATGGAAAGCCGCCTAGGAGGCTTCAAACGGACTTTCCTTACCGATTATTGGTGACCAGCGGCCACACCACAGTGTGGCAAAACAAGGTCACTTTGCAGGTCAGGTGTCTCGCGATGCTCCAGCGCTGGTTGTAATCAGGTCGACCAAGAGTGACAAGATCTGAGCAGCAATCCGTGGAAAAGACCATTCTTGCAGCACTACCCGTTCAACTGGTGGCGCATACAAGGCCAGTCACATGCTGCCCGACAAAAGCCAAACCGTGGCGGCAATTCCTAGCGAGAGAAGCCTGCAGCTAAGGGTGAACCGGGCACAACCTCCCCGAGGGGAGGCAAACCCAGCACCCTTCGGCACGCACCGGTGCCAATAGGGGATGTCTCTTGAGTCAGTGAGGCGCTGCGTAATTGCAAAAAGTGATCTGCTGCGTGCAAGGCCCGTGTGAAACATGTGAAACTTTGAGCTCTCCTAGCACGATATCTGTACCTCTTTGTACAAAATTGGAAATGTCGGACATCAACAGCGGGAACTAAGGTTCCCCCTGGGCATCCTTCATTGCCACTATCTACCACCCGCCGTTTAGGAACGCAGAACTAAGGCTCTCGCTCCTATCGGCTCACTACGCAGCGAATGGCAGGAAGAGGTCATGGTTCTACTTGGTGTCTGCGCATTTTTCTTGCCGTATATGCCTGGAAATCATCCTTTCCTAGCGCTCGAATACTGACACTTGGCTCAGCTCACTACCCACGTCGCCCTTGCTCCTCTCCTGCCTCGGAAGCATTGCTGGTCTTTGGCGCTGGGTCTAGATAGTCTTCTCGCCAAAGATCGTTTGCATCATTCGGCAAGACTCGAAGCCACGTGGGCTTGTCGAAGTGCTCGCATTTGTCAAAAGCATTAGACTGGGCATATGTCCCTCGCCATGTGCTGCTTTTTCCTTGCTTGAGGATTATTCGAAGATGCGTGCAGCCTGCAAAGGCATGCCTCGCAATGTAAAGCAGGGATGGCGGAGTAGAGACCTCCTTTAGGGAAGTACACTTGTAAAAGGCTTCTTGCTCAATGGTCCTCAGCATGCGGGGAAGGCAAAGTTGTTGCAGCTGCGAGCAGTAAGCAAAGGTTGAGCCTAGAATCTCAAGTACGTCTGTTTGGGACAAATCAACGATTTGCAGCTGCTGGCAGCTCATACAGGCAGCAAAGCCTATCCTGTGGAAACTCGTAGGTAACGCCAGCTCAACAATGCCCGACTCTTGAAAACAGCAGTCCGGCAAACATCGGTTTGGGTACGTTGTAGCAGACTCTGACATGCCCAAGTTGATGTTGCGCAGCGCCGTGCATGCTTGAAAGGCACGAGGCCTTAGCTGGGCTTGGGGAGCTAGCTTATTGCTAGGGCAATGTGCCGCACCAACCTGCGTTAAGGAGCAACACTCTTCGAATACCTTGGTGCCGAAATACTTGCAGCTTGGGGCGACCACTATACGTAGCACTTGACACTTACTGAAGGCACCATGCAAAAGCCCGACTACCGTGTCTGGCAGGTGGACGATTTGCAGTTGTCGACAGCACCGCCACGCAGCCTCTCCTACAATCTTGACACCATTCTCTACTAGAACGTGGCGAATTTCAGTGCAAAAGGAGAAGGCTTGTGGAGGAATTTTGCCATTTCTACTACACAGCACCCGAACTGCCTTGACTTCCCCTTTTAGTTGCCATGCACTGCTTAGCGATTACATAATACTTCTGGTTGGTGCTGATTGCACTCTGGATTGGGTCAGCAAGGACCTGCAGGGTATTCATATGCACAAATTGCAGTTCACACCCTAAGGTGCTTGCGTTTCCTAGATGGGGGAGCCTTGCTAATACTGCATTCTCGAGGCGAAGACTGGCATGCCCACCAGGATCCACCTCTACGGGTAGTTCCTCCCCTGCTAGCGTAGTCAGCGTGAGGGTCCGCTCCCCTGGCTTTCCCCTGCTATGCCATGGACTGGCTCCACCTACTTCTTCAGTCACGCTCTGTGCGCAGGATTCACTGGTTTGAGCCCAAGGAAGTGCGTGCCTGAAAAAAATCTGGACGAGACTCTTCTCTATCCGACAGCAGCGAGGCACTCACTCCCCTGTCTAACGGAGGGCAACTATGGTCAGTTACTCGTGGTGAAGAGTAC